CTCTCTCCTGGCAGGCTTTCATGACTCCCTCACTAGAGTAGGATCTTGTGACCCCCCCCCCCCCCACACACACACACTGCGTCTTCAGTCCTGAGATCATCCCCCAATTAGCCTTGAGTGAGAGTAGCTCAGTGGTAGCTTGTGTCCTGGTGAGACCCTGGACTTGCCCAGGCTGATTCTAGTTTTTTGTGGGCAGTCCCCACATAAGGGTTTCACTGTTAGCTCAAAGTCAATGTGTACAAATTCTAGCTCACATTGGCCATATTGAAAACAAATGGAAGTCGGGTACAGTGACTCACACCTGTAATCCTAGCTATTTGGGAGGCGGATATTAGGAGGATCACTATTTGAGGTTAATCTGGGCAAAACCAAACCCTACTCAACAGTTACTGTTGAGATGTACATGCCTGTCATCTGAGTTACAATGGGGAAGTGTAAATAGGAGGATCCTAGCTGAGCATTGGTGGCTCATGCTTATTATCCTAGCTATCCTAAGCTTTCCTCTTGGGGTACAGGTCATACTTGCACACACAATTATGTTTCTCTTAGGCTGTCTGTCTGTCTGTCTAGCTGTGTCTATATATGTGTCCATCTATTAATCATCTCTGTGTATGTATGTATATTTGTATCTATCTGGCTATGTTTATTTTTGTATGTGTGTATGTATCCATCCATCCATCCATCCATCCATCCATCCATCCATCCATCCATCCATCCTAGCTGGCCCTCTATTACTTGAAGCATATCTCTAGCCTTGCTTTTTTTTTTTTTTGTACCAGTCCTAGGGCTTGAACTTAGGGCCTGGGAGCCATCCTTGAGCTTCTTTTGCTCAAGGCTACTACTTGAATAACAGCTCCACTTTCAGCTATTTTTAGTGGTTAATTGGAGAAAAGAGTCTCAGGTAGTGGCACTGGTACGAGTTTCCTACCGGAGCTGGCTTTGAATCTCAATTCTCAGATCTCAGCCTCCTGAGTAGCTAGGGTTACAGGTGTGAGATGCCAGCACCTACTTGTTTGCTTTCATTGTCTTTAGATCCCTGGTTGGCCATGAAGGTTGTGGGTTTGTGCATGGTGGCCTGATTGGTGTCTTTTGTTAGTTCAGGAAAAAATTTTCATCATCTCAGCAAACATAGCTGCAGCCTTGTTTCTCTTCTCTCCATCTGGAACTCTAATTTCATGTATATTTGAGCTTCTTATCCAGATTCCAGATCCTCTTCTGTGCTTTTCTCCTTTGTCTTTCCTGTTGAATCTTTGTACTTCAGCCCAGATGTTTTCTTTTGACTTGCATTCCAAGTTATTAGTTTTCTCAGCTGTACTTCTCATCTGCTATTAAGTCTACCACCAAGTTATGAGTTCCTGTTATTGTGTTTTCTAATACTTGATCTAGAATTTCCATTTGGCTTTCACTAATTTTTTCTTGTTTCTGTGCCAGCATTTATAACCTTACCTTTTATTTTCTCACATATTTGAGCATAGCTATTTGAAAGTCTGTATCTACTAGTTCTGTGATGTTTACCCCCTGTAGCGTCTGTGTATATTGTCTGTTGTTTCTTTGAGTTTTTAGTCACATGACTTTGTCTCATTGTATGCAAGGTTGTGTGTGTGTGTGTGTGTGTGTGTGTGTGCGTTTTGAACTGAGGGTTTTACACTCACTCAGCTTGTTTGCCTAGGTAGTTCTCTACCACTTGAGCCACAGTTATACTTCTAGATTTTTACTGCTTAATTGGATCTAAGATTATCAAGGAATTTTCTGCTTGGGCTGATTTTGAACTGTGATTCTCAAATCTGAGCCTCCTGAGTAGCTAGGATTACAGGTGTGAGCCACCAGTGCCTGGCTGTGGCTGGTGTTTTTTTTTTTTTTGGTCGGTCGTGGGGCTTGAACTCTGGGCTTGGGCGCTGTCCCTCAGCTCTTCAGCTCAAAGCGAGCGCTCTACCACTTGAGCTACGGCGCCACTTCCGGTTTTCTGGTGGTTTATTGGAGATAAGAGTCTCACGGTCTCTCTTGCCCGGGCTGGCTTTGAACCGCGATCCTCAGATCTCAGCCTCCTGAGTAGCTAGGATTACAGGCGTGAGCCACCAGCGCCCGGCCTTGTGGCTGGTGTTTTTGTTTGCTTGTTTTGGTCAGTCCTGGGGCTTGAACTCAGGGCCTGAACACTGTCCCTGAGCTTCTTTTTTGCACAAGGCTAGTACTTTACCAGTTGTGCCACAGAGGCACTTCTGGCTTTTTCTGTTTATATGGTACTGAAGAGTTGAACCCAGGGCTTCATACATGCTAGGCAAGCACTCTACCACTAAGCCACATTCCCAGCCCTGGATGGTGTTTTATAAGGTTGTGTGTGTGTGTGTGTGTGTGTGTGTGTGTGTGTGTTTTCAATCGTGGCACTTGAACTAAGAACCTGGGTGCTATCTCTGAGCTCTTCTGCTCAAGGTTAGTGCTCTACCACTATGAGCTATGGCTCCACTTATTGGTTTCTGGTGTTTAATTGTAGAATAGAGTCTCATGGACTTTACTGCCCAGGCTGGTTTTGAACCGTCATCCTCAGATCTCAGCCTCCTAAGTAGCTAGGATTACAGGCATGAGCCACCAGCGCCTGGCTAGGGCTGTCTTTTATTGATCCATACAGAAGTATTTTTCTTTGAGTGGTGCTGGACTTTGAACTCTGAACCTTACAGTTGCTAGACAGGAACTGTACCAATTGAGCCTACCCCTCTGCCCTTTTTTGCTACAGTTATTTTTTGTATAGGGTTTCACTTTTCCCTAGGTCATTCTGGATCATGATCCTCCTATTTGCACTTCCCCTGGTGGCTGGAGTGACAGACAGAGGCTACTGCACCCAACTTGTTTGGGAATCTCCCAAACTTTTTTCTTTGGCTGGCTTCTATCCTTGATCCTTCCCATCTCTCCCTCCAAAGTAGCTAAGATTTGAGGCATGACCCACCTCTTACAGCTTCATACTGTAATGTTTAGAATGAAGAGATATGATATCTGAGATTTGCTTCAGTCCACTGGATGCAGGAGCACATGTGTCTGAGATGTATGGAGGAGAGTGAAAAGGACTGGTTTGTTGTGCTCATGGCTGGCATATGGTGAAGGCATTTGTGACTTATTGTAGTATTTTCTCTATTTTGATGTCTTCTTGAGAATTTCCATAATAAAGGTAGAAGAAAAGTGGGGAGTAGTAGAAAGTTGTGTGAGGCAGTTTGGTGTGGGGCCTCCTGAACCTGGAGTCCTGTTCTATTTTTTTTGTCATGGGTCTTGAACTCAGGACCTTTCACTCAAGGCTAGCACTCTACCAATTTGAGCTACAGCACCACTTCTGGTTTTCTGGTGGTTAATTGTAGATAAGAGTCTCATGGGCTTTCTTTCCCAGGCTGACTTTGAACCACAACTCTCAAATCTCGCCTCATCAGTGGCTAGGATGAAAGACGTGAGCCACCAGCACCTAGTTAGAGTTCTGTTCTTGGTTATCTCTGTCACCTGAGCTGGTGGCTTCTTCAGGGTAAGTTGTTTGGTTCCTGGAGCTGGGAGTATCCTGCATCTGCCTCAACCCCAAGCTGTCTGTTTTCTAAGAATCTTTTGCTGTCTCTCCTTGGTATCTCTAACCTTCTCCCTGTCATTGTAGATTTATATATGCACATATTTTAATGTTACTATCATTTTAGTGGAGTGTCTAGGAGGAAGTCATATGCTACCTACCTGCCATCTTCTCTCTGGAAATCCCATGAAAGATTAAAAAAAAAAACAGCTGTCTAGAACCTCATGGAACAGTTGCAGGTCTTGCTGTTGAGGGTGTTGAGTATTCTCAGATGAATGAGGACACAGTTAAATGGCCCATGCAAAGCAGGTGCCACATGAGGTGGGAGAGTTCTGTCCCCAGTGCCCATTCTGCCCTTGAGTGGTGGTCTGGTTGGGGTTGTGTGCTTAAGCCACAGCCTCCCCAGCCATGGTCACCTGTGTCACCCACCCACATGACCAAGGTTGGCTGGCGATGAGCAGAATCTTTCACCTTGTGTCATCAGTTTGTATGGGGACAGGTGATATACAGCCATGCATCTACCTGTAAGCCCCTTAAATGACTGGTGCCAGCTGCTGAGCCAGCAGGGAGCCAAGGCATGATGGGAATCTCAAACCCTTGTTCAGCTTCCTCTGCCTTGGTGTCCCAAGAGCAGGCTCTGGTCTGGGGGACTCTGTTATCTGTGGCCACCTCTTCTCTGGCCTCTGCAAGTGTCTGCAAAATTGGGGCTCAGGGCAAGTGACACTCACAGCTAAGGCCCCTCTCTGGGTATGCAGGGGAAGGTGCTAGTCACCAATAGCAGGGACTCATGTGGACAGAGCAGAGCAGATCTGCATGACTGAAAGTATGAACCAGTCTCTCAGGTCCCATTGTTCTCCCAGAAACTGTGTGCAGTGAGAGACTTGCCCTCCTAGTGTCTTCATGCAAATGAAGGATTGTACTTGCACCAATCATGACACAGTCCTTTCTTTATGTATATAAAAGATTGTGTTTGCACAGCCATTCATTCAAATAAAGAATTGTATGTGTACCAATGATGGTATAGCCCTTTAGGCAAATAAAAGATCATGTGTATATCAATCAGGACACAATTCTTCATGCAAATGAGGGATTGTACTTGCACCAATTTTGGCATAGTCAGGAACATGAGTAACAGTACTAATCACTACATAGCTCTTAATGCAAATGAAGGGTTACAGTTATACCAGTCATGATATAGCCTCTCATGCAAATGAAGTATTATGTATGCACCAATCATGGCACAGTCCTTCAGGTAAATAAAGGACTAAGTGTACACCAATCACAGCACAGCCTTTCATGCAAATGAAGGATTATACTTTGACCAATCATAGGCTGTCTGCTGGGCCACAGGGGAAGTGCTGGTTCTGGCTTCAGCTCCAGCTCTACTTTTCTTGTTGAGTCTGTAGGTTTGGCACAGCCCTGACAGCTGCTTTTCTCCTTTCCCTTCTTCCTTTGTCCCACCCAGGAAGAAAACAGACAGATCCTGGCCCGGCAGAAGTCGAACTCGCAGTCAGACTCACATGATGAGGAAGTGTCCCCAACACCCCCAAATCCTGTGGTGAAGGCACGTCGCAGGCGGGGAGGCGTGAGTGCTGAGGTCTACACTGAGGAGGATGCCGTCTCTTATGTCAGGAAGGTGAGGAGAGCCCCCCCCCCCCCTGCGTCCTTAGATCTGACAGCCCTGGGGACTTCAGTTTTCTTGTTGATCAGAGATTAGAGCCATGGCATGGGAGATGAGATTGTAGGTAGGATGGAGGTCACCATTGTCTCTGCCAGTGTGAGCTCAACGTGTATTTGGGGTAGCCTTTATGAGGTCTCTGCAGCTCTTTGTGGGTTTAGGTGTAGTGGTGTATGCTTGTAATCCTAGCTCTTGAGAGGCTGGGGCAGGAGAATCATGAGTTTAAGGCTCAACTTAAGGTACTTTGCCTAGCTGTTACTAGTTGAGAAGGCAGCGGGGAGAGGGAGGGGTGTTTTAGTAACATTTGCTAGAACTGACCTTAAACAGAAGTCCTCTTGATCTCCCTTCCAAGTAGCTGGGATTACAGGCAGTGTGAGAATGGTTTTGAGGCCCTGAGTTGAAACACCAGTACTTCAAATAAACACAAAATATAGCCTAGGAACTGGCTATTTTCCAGCACCTTCTAGGTGGTTCTGAATCCTAGCAGAGCCAATCGACAATGATCCCAAATTTTAGATGATGCCCAGGCTTCTTTTTGAGCCACTCCAGGTGTCTCCTCTTTTATTAAAATACACACACATATACACATATACACACATATACACATATACACACACAAGATGAAATCTCACACTGGGTCTTTTTGCATCATCTGACCTCAGCACCACACAGAGGGCAGAATTGCTAGATTTCAAGTCATGGTGGGGGTCCCCAAGGCCAAGCAGAATCTGGGAAGTGTTCTGGCCCCAGCCCCTCCCCTCCGTGATGGACCAGAAGTCTGACTCCATCCTGACTCCACTGGCTTCCCCACAGGTCATTCCTAAGGACTACAAGACCATGACTGCGCTGGCCAAAGCCATCTCCAGAAATGTGCTCTTTGCACACCTTGATGACAATGAGAGAAGGTAGGTCACCAGGTCACCAGGTTAAGCTCCCCTGGCTGGATCTGGAGACACTGGCTTCCCCTCCTGGCCTCCCCTCTGGCCTCCCCTCTGAGCCTTCAGTGTGAGTCACCAGGCAAGTCACAGAGGTACTTGGTTCCTGGAGGAGAGGGTCACTGCTTTCTGGAACCAAGGCAGGGGTGACTTCAGAAACCAGTGCCGTGTGTGACTCTGGTTCAGCTCAGGAGACACATCTGGACCCTGGCCAAGGTCAGGGGTCTCCTGGACCTCTAGTCCCTGATGCCAAATCTGTTATATAAAGACATGATCACAGAGGCTGCATGTTCAGGCATATTCCATATGCCAGTTGTGCCTGGCCTTTGCTGAGATTACAGGATTCCGGGTCCCCTTCCTGTCCTTGGTGCCAGGGTCTGAGTTGGGGTCACCTCAGTCTTAGTGATGGCAGAGACCATATTATTCTAAGGAGAAGGATCCTATGAGTGATGAAGGGTTCAAAGGTCATGCTTTGGGAATAGAGTCTGTAAATAATTAGAAACATCAAGAGGTTTGCATAAACTCAATCCAGTGTGCCTCTTTAGTTTCATTTGGGGTGACTCATGCACTCCGAAGTCCCTGGGTGTGCTGTGTGATTTCTTGGTGTCATGTCTCTGGTTCCTGGGAATACTGGACCTCCCCCCACCCCTTTTCTTTTGTCAGAGCCTGAGTGCTGTCCCTGAGCTCTTTTGTTCAAGGCTGATGCTCTACCACCTTGAGCCACAGAACCACTTCTGTTTGCTGGTGGTTAATTAGCGATAAGAGTGTCACAAACTTTCTTGCCCAGGCTGGCTTTGAACCGTGATTCTCAGATCTCAGCCTCCTGAGGATTACAGGTGAGCTACTAGCACCCAGCTGGACCCCTTTTCAGTCATTTTCTTCCTTGAGCCTGCCACTGATTTGAGCTCAGATTTAAAACCAGCTTTTCAGCTAGACACTATAGCTCATGCCTATCATCCTAACTACAAAGGAGGCTGGGATCTGAGGATCATGGTTCAAAGCCAGCCTGGGCAGAAAAGTTAATGAGACTCCTGTCTCCAGTTAACTAGCAAAAAAATCCAGAAGAAGAGCTGTGACTTAACTGGTACAGCATTAGCTTTGAACACAAAAAGCCTAGTGAGAGTGCAAAGCCCTAAGTTCAAGCCCCAGAGCTAGCAGAAACAAATAAAAAGTAAGTAAAATAAAACAGATTTTTCAGCCAGGGCCACCCAACACCCAACACCACTAGATACTAGATGTCAAGATGACGCCCACTCTGGAAGGCATGTAGGCCCTATTGGGAGCAGTTGGACGTAACCCCCCCCCCCCCCGCCCCCCGCCACAGCCTCCCAATACTCAGTCCAGCCATTTAGTGCAGTTTTGACAACTCAAAGTAGAGGCAGGGAACTCCAGTCCTGTAGGAGGAGGTGACCAGGGGTAGACAAGTCCCCATGGGCATCTGCCTGGGTCTCACTGGCCCAGTCTGTCAGAGTGGGCATTTATGGCTAAGGCAGGTCCCCAGTGACACCCTAGAACTGATTGGGGATGCAAGTAGACAGGCAGGAGAGGAAGCTAAGTGGGTGCGTCTGTTTCCTTCAAGTCTGCTGTTTTGAACTTTCCATGACCATGTGATGGGCTCCTCCTCCTGGCTATAGTCTCTACAAAAACTGGCAGAGGGTTCAGGAAAGTTCCAAACGGGAGTGGGCCAGGAGGCACTGTCTGCTGACCTTTCCCCTGATGTCTCCTCTGTGCACCTTCTAGACAGCCCAGTTTCCAGCTTTCTAGACACCCTGGCTTCCAGCTTTCTGAGACTGGTTTGTCAAGGGTGGCAAGGTCCCTTCTCAGTCTGGGGGCGCCTGGCAGTGTTGCCCTCAGCTGCCTGCCACTCCTCTGCGTCCCCACAGATGGGTAAGACAAATCAAAATGTTCCTGGGGGGCGGGCTGGGAAGGTGGCTCAGTGGTAGAGCGCTTGCCTTGCATGCCTGAGGCCCTGGGTTCGATTCCTCAGCACCACATAAGCAAAAAGAAAAAAGCTGGAAGTGGCGCTGTGGCTCAAGTGGTAGAGCTCTAGCCTTGAGCTGAAGAGCTGAGGGACAGTGCGCAGGCCCAGAGTTCAGGCCCCATGACTGGACCCAAAAAAAAAAATGTTCCTGGGCCAAGGACCCACTTATGGGATGGGGGTGCTTTCTTGTCCACTGATCTTCTTTACTGAAGCTTGGGAAAGGCAAAGATCATATTTAATCCGATCCTTTTATTCAAAGAGAATGGTGCAGCTTGGTTGGGGGTGGGGGTGAGCTGACTCGCCAAGTTGCCTGCTTTCACCTCACAGCCTCAGTTTCCCCCTAGACCCCTGGCACCTGAAGCTGAACCAGCGTTCCAGCATGGGGGGGGGTCTCCCCTGAGGATGCCAGGTTGCTAGTACCTTCCCCTCTCCCACCTACATGGGAACTGGGCATTCTGGGTATAGTCAGTGTGTGTGTGTGGGGGGGTGTCCCCGTGTTCTGAGGTGAACTGCAGTGCTGGGAGCCAGCTGTGGCCTGGAGGATGTCGGGTGTGAAAGAGGATGGGGGTGGAGACTCCTGTAGCAGAGGACTGGGCTGGAATGTTCTGTGTATGCACAAACACAGGCACTCATGCATACATGTGCCCATGCAGGTACATGCATGCATACTCTCACACACCACAACCTGAGGGGTTAGGATGTCTTTGAAAGGAGAAAGCTGTGCACTGGCATGTACACATGGGGTCCCCCTGTGCTCAGGCATCAAGTGATGGTACTAAAATGGACTTTGAGGGATGTCATGAAGATGTCACACAGTGATGCCACACGTGTCTTACTGTCTCTGCCGCCACCACCATCACTGCCATAATCGTCACCACCACCATCAGCACCACTGTCACCATCCCCCCATCATGATCGTCCTCTGGCTGTCCTTTGGCTGTGAGGCCAGGTGACCTTCACCACTGTGTGGCTTCTCCCTGGATAGCCCAGCTGCACACAGCCCCTGCAGCCAGTCCCCTCTGTGCCTGGGGGCTGGTGTGACCCTGAGGCTGCTCCCTAGGGTCATCCTCTAAGGCCACACCACAGGGGGGTTCTCTGCTCTGTCTTGCACTCCTGGTCTAGGACACCCCCAAGTTGGAAGGATGGTCCTGGGGAGGGCGCCTTGCCCCAGATGTGGGCTTGTACAAATGAGAGCTCTGAAGCCCAGAGAGGGAAGATGGAGGCCCTGCAGATGTACAGACCACGCAGCAGGTGTCCAAGCTGGGATTGGAACAGGGCTTTCTACCCCCTAGAGCATCCCTTTCAGGTCCCTTCTGCAGGATCCAATTGCTCCTGGTGAGGGCCAGGGGTAACAGCAGGTGCAGCAAATCTCACCTCCACACAGGGCAGCTAGCTGGGCAGCTAGTTCTCTGAGCTGCCTCAAGAATGTGGTCCCCAGAACCCTGGGATGTCCCAGGGCAATCAGAGCCTGGCCTCTGGGAGGGAGGCAGGGGCCCTGAGTCTCCATCTGGTCCCTTCTGACTTCCCGATTAGGGTGCCTGGAGAGGGAACGTGGTAGAGCCTCGGGGAGCTGAAACACAAGATAATTAGGAAACAGCGCCTGTTGGTGGTGGCCCTGGCTGGGGACTCTTTCTCTCTGTGGCTCTAATTAAAAACTGAGGCGTCTGGCCTGAGCGAAGCCCCGCTAGCTATCTGTGCTGAGTCTTTTCCTCCCACCCACTGTCTCTGCAGTTTGTTTTTCCAGGGTTTGGCTCTGGGCTCAGGTGATGGGGAAAACACGCTGTCTGCCCGGTCACATGCAGCAGCCTCTGGCTGCTAAGAACGTTTTCATCCCTGATTCTCTCTAGCTTGGCTCAGGCTTTGGGACTTTCTGCTTCCCTTTTGGGCGGTGATGAAAAAACAAAATTACCATTTTGGAAAAGTGCAAGGCCTCACTCTGAAGAGATACTTAAAGGCCTGAACATGGAGAATATTTGAGGTTTGTTTGTTTTGTTTTCTCCTCTTGCACCATCGCCAGGCTCATTCTGGGGCAGAGGCTGGAAGGCCTAACATGAACATTGTCATATTAGACCCTGCAAATAGTACTCTGAGGCTGACATTGCTACAAAGACCATTTGGCAGATGAGTCTTAGAAACGTTTTGGGTTTTTTTCATTGTTGTTGCTGCTGTAGTGATATCAGGATTTGAACTCAGGGCTTTGCTTTGGCTTCCTTTACTTGGCCGCTATTCTACCATATGCCTCAGCCTGACTTTTTGCTAGAGATGAAGTCTTGCAGACTTTTCTTTCTGGGCTGACTTTGAACTGTAATCCTCTGGATCTCAGCCTCCTGAGTAACTAGGATTAGAGGCGTGAGATACTGCTGCCTGATTAGAATCCAGAAAGGTTTAACTGTTTCCCAAGCTTGTTGGGAACAGGAGAGGTTGGGATTTGAACTGATCTTGATTGACCTTTCTGACCTCCACAACGGCATAAGTACCTCATTACCTGAATAGGTAATAGCAATGGCAATAACCTTTTTCAGAGAACAGTACTTTTCCACATGGCCAAAATTTTCCAGTGGATTGGAAATCCTGCAGTATGTTGACAGTTGCAGTTCAGCTCTCTTCAGAGTCTGTCAGTAAAGGTCTCCAGGTCTGCATTGCTGCAGAGTGTGAAAAATGACAACGCATCCTAGCTTCCAAGGTCAGCTCTTGGAGTTTTGGGGGAGAGGTGAGCCTCAGGTTTTGAGGAGTATAGCCATTGCTGCCTGGTGTCGACTTACTTATTTATGTTTTACAACTCTAGGATCTAATGTGTGTGTGTCTCATGCTGCAGACCCCTCTAGCCATTTGCCTTCTTTTTTGTCTTTTTGGTTGGTCGTGGGGCTTGAACTCTGGGCCTGGCCACTGTCCCTCAGCTCTTCAGCTTAAGGCTAGCGCTCTACCACTTGAGCCACAGCGCCTCTTCTAGTTTTCTGAGTGGTTACTTGGAGATAAGAGTCTCACGGAC